TCTTTGCTTTAAAAAAAAAAAAAAAAAAGCTCTTTTCGCAGCCAAGGCCAAGGTGAAAATGGAAAGTGAGGCTACCTTCCTGCACTGAGCCGGCTTTCTCCTCCTTCCCTCTCAGTGCTCCAGGACCTGTGGAGGAGGTGTTCAGAAACGGGAGGTCCTTTGCAAGCAGCGAATGGCGGACGGCAGCTTCCTGGAGCTTCCTGATACCTTCTGCTCCGCCTCCAAACCAACCTCCCAACAAGACTGCAAGCAGGAAGACTGTCCCAGTGAGTGGCTTCTCTCAAACTGGACAGAGGTGCGTATGCTCCTCAGGAGAGCCAAAGGCATGAGGGGGGAACACAGTCACCCCGAACACATACACAGGAAAGACAAAAGAGAAACACAAGTCTAAGATGGGCAGTATTTTTGTGCCATTTACACCATAGTGTGCAAGTAGCTTCTAGCCAGGTGGCAGGGACCAGAGCTACACAGCCAGCCCTTACCAAACAGCTGGCGCTTGGGACTGTAAATGGGCTCCTCCTGGATCAAAACCAGGACCCTGGATCCTCCTGTCCATCTGCTCTGTCCCCCACTGACCTCCCTGCTCCTCCTGCTCCCAGATGCTTCCAGTCTCCTCCACTCAGGAAGGGCAAAAGCCTTGTTAGTTCTTCTCTCCTGAGTTAGTGGACAGTAAAGGCTGTGATTTATTAGCAAAAGAAGGCCAAGGAAATCCTGCCTTTTACTGTTAGTTTCTTGGCTCTCAAACTTTAGCTGCTTCCCAGCAAGAGAATTTGATGTCCCTTGGTGCCCTGCCTTTGAAGAAATGATGACCTCGGCACCCAGCACTCTTTCTTTCCCCTCACAAGTTAGCGATACACCTCCAACTAAGCCGTTCTTCTGAACATTTCCTGTGCTAGGACTGACACAAATTAACTCAGTTTCAGCCACCTTCAGCTTGTTTGTTTCCAGCCCCTGTGGTTCTTTTGAGATGCCCTTGATTCCTGAGCTCCATAGGCCTGTGCAGCTTCCCTAGAGAAGCCCCCAGAGTATTACCTCCCTAGAAAATTGAGCCACATATAGGAGCCCTAGGCCTGAAGTGAAAAATCCATGCAAAAACCAAAATCAAGGACTTCCCTTTTGTTGCACACAGCATTTGACCTGGCCTCTTGGCCTCTTGTATAATGTGAGGTGCCGCTATCGAAATACACCGCAGAGATGCTTGCTTCAGAAGGAAAGCCATGTGGTAACCAAGATGCTGGCTTTCCGAGTAGGATTCTCTTGTGGAGGCCTCCTTCACTGAGTGGGGCCTCGGAATTCTCACCCTGTGTGCTGTCAGCCCGTGCAGAGGACATCCAGCGGGCCTGCTGTGGGCATTGCAGTTGAGAGGGAAGCTGTGCCACCACGGGGCTTCTAACTGGGGAGAAATCACTTTGGTGGGGCCTCACAACACAAGGCAGAGCAACTGCGCTGTTGTCTTAGAAACAGCTCGACTTCAGCAGGGTAAAGGGTCAAAGAGTGGGACCGAGCCCTGTACATTCAGGAGTCTGTACATGTGTGCCAGGCATGTTGGTGACCTTTCCAGGGTGGTCTTGGTTTGGAATATGACATAACTCACAAAGAAATCATGATAGAAACAGCAGTTAAGGAAAGGCCGTGGTCGTATTTGCCGAGTGGCTCTGCGTCGACATCTTCCCAATGGAGGGCCGAGAAGCACTGCTCCTCTCAGCCCAACCGATGATGGGGCTGAGGAAGCGATGATCGTACAGTGTACTTATCTTCCCAGAGTCCGTGGACTTGGGAAAGTCTGGGATATAGAAAACTTAGAAAAAGTTCTTTTCTCTCTGCAGACTTGAAAGAGGAACCTTGTGATTTGACTAAGAGAAAGAGACCCCTGAACGGAGGTCCCATCAGTAAAGTAGGCCTTTAGAAAGGAACTGTGTATGGTCCAGAATTCATACTCAAAGACAGGCAAACCTTTCACTCCCAACTCTGATATTTATGGGCTCTATGCACTTGGGCTGTTTAACCTTTCTAGGCCTTTGTTACTTCTCCATGAAATGGAGCTATACAGTGCCCATCATTAGCACTGCAATGATGCTGTTAATTGCTCTTGCAATTTAAAGCAAGCAGCTTTAAGTTGAATGATGCGTACAAAGTACTTGGTGCCTAGTAAAACTCAGCTGTTAATGCCGTGATGATTTTCTCCCATAGGGGATCATTATCAGGAGAAGGAGAGGAACTAAAAGGAAGCCCTCCCTCTGACTGGCTGGACACAGAGCCACTGCCTAGGTCTCCCACCAGCTTCGCTGAATTCTCAGGACAAGAAAGTCCGGGTTGCCTTTGGGGAGCTAGGAGTAGTTGGCCCGAATCCAGAACCTCATTGGGTCCTGATCCATCTGGGTTGGTTGAAGAGCGGAAATTCCAAACACTGGGAAGGGGCTGGGAACAGTGGGAAGCAATCACCAGATTCCCTGGGATGGATCTCACTCTGGTGCTGGCAAGAGTGCTCCTGGGAACTCCCGTGGAGACCCCACATGGTCCTGTCACCAGGGCCGCTCCCAGGCTGCCACTCCCCCACCACGAGCCCTGGGAAGCCAGAGCAGCTGGGCTGTCCATGAGCTTCAGTCCTCCACTGTCCGGGCCAGTCTCACGGTCACTGCACCAAGCCCTCCGAGACAAGATTAAGCCAAGGCTGAGACATTTCAAATACAATTACTTGCAGATTCTGTTTTGAAAGTAAGACCTCTCGAAAGATCGTCCTTCTTTTCTGTAAAAGAAACCTTTTAATCTCCTGAGTTAGCTATTAAATCATGTTCTTAATAGAAGTTTTCCCCAAAAAAGGTTAAACAAAATTAAAGCCATGGTAGTTAAATTTTGAGCTGGAAGCAACTTAAGAGATCCTATAGCCTAATTGCCTTCTTTTAAAATTGACTCCTCAGCAGTCTTGTCAGTTCAAATGACACTGTGACATCAGAATTCTAATGCAGAAGAAACAAGAGCTATTTTGGTTGATGTGTGGGTGGTGCTTCTGATCTCCAGTGGCTGGCGGGATCTCCTGGCGACCGAGAGAGCCGGAGTGACTTCCGAAGGAGTTCTGAGCCTGGGCTGCAAGCCCCTCCCTTTCAGAGATGTGCAAACAGAAGCGAGACAAAGCCCTAGACTTGACTGGGTCAGAGCAGCCATTTGACCCTTAGGCTATTTTTCTCCTCTTTTAGTTGGCATTGTGAAAATGACAGTGCTTTTAAAGCACTCAGGCTCCTCACCCCCTCCTACCTGGCCTTGCAAGTCAGGTACAGTCAGATAGGTCAGGGGCAGAATCTGGAGTCAGAGCCTTCAGGCCACAGAGCCAGGTTCAGTTCCCAGCCCACCTTCTGCCCCTTGCTATCTCTGAGGGTGACGCAGTCACAGCCTGACGTACTGATTCATGTCACCTCTGGGTGCTAGTACATAAACTTGAAAAACTGAGGTAATTTTTTGTTATTTTTTGCCGTCAGTTTCCAAGTCAGCATGGCGCGTCACCGTGACCCAGGTTCAGGCGTTCAGCGGCACCTTCCCTGCTGTCCTTGCCTCCCAGCTCTCTGCACAGCTCGGTGTACCATCTCTAACCCTCTTCCGTCCTGTTCCTACCTTCCTGGGGCTTCTCACTGCCCGTAGACCAGTTCTAAATCGTCTGTCTCCCAAGACTGGCCACGACGTCCCCTCAAGCCCCTGAGCACCGTCAACCTGGCCCACCGTCCGTCCAGCGGGACTCCACACCTCTCCCTTCTGGACGTTTCCCTGCCTTCGCATGTTCTGCTCCCACCCGCACTCAGCCCTTGTCCAGACCCAGGCTAGGAAATCCCTTGTGTACATAGGTTTCCAAGGCTTCTTCCCACGGACTTTATAGAAGTTCACTTGTTTTCTGGTTTTCTAATCTCACTAAATTCTTTGATTATTTAATTCTATAGACAGCTGATTCGAGTGTAATTTCTATATCAAAATTCAGTTTAGCTTAAACTTTTTGTATCCATACTGTAGCAGCTTTATTATCTAATATTTATATTTAATATTTTATATATTAAATATATATATATATTAATATCATAATAGACACCGAAGGCCTGAACCTGGGTCATGGCCATGTGCCATGCTGACTTGGAAAATGACAGCAAAAAACAACAAAAAATTGCCTTGATTGTTCAAGTTTGTGTACTCGCACCCAGAGACGACCCAAATCAGTATGACAGGCTGTGGCTGCACCACCCTCAGAGACAGCAAAAGTATATGTTCACAGTACACAGTGATTGTATTCCTTGTGGGGAGTTGGTACGTGCACATAACACATCTGAGTTCTTCCTTCATCCCTTCCCTCCCCCCTCCTCTGCCACCATCTCTTGATCCCCTTCCCATATGCAAGAGACCTATCCTGCTATTCCCCTATGTTGGGCTCTTTATTTATATTTTGGGTTTCTCATATGAGAAACCATGTGATATGTACACTTGTGTGTCTGATTTATTTCACCTAACATTATGGTCTCAAGGTACATCCATTTTCCTCCAGATGACTCCAGTTTATCCTTCTCTGTGGCAGAGTAGTACTCTATTGTGCATAAATCCCTCATTTTCTTTATCCATTCATCTATTGATGGACCTATAGCCTACTTCTAAGACTGAGCTATTAAGAATTATGCTGCTATAAACATGGATGTGCAGGTAGCACTGTGACGTGATGTCATTCTTTCAGGAAGATAACTGGGAGACTTGCTGGGTCAAAAAGAATTTCTTATTTTGGCTTTTTCAGGAATCTGCATACTTAATTCCATATCTGTTGTACTAGCTTACACTCCCAGCAGCAATATAGAAGGGTTCCTTTTTTTCCCTGCAGTGTCTTCAGTACTTTTACTATCTGGTTTCTTGATGACGGCCATTTTTTCTGTCATAAGATGGAATTTGCATGTTATTTTAATTTGCATTTCTCTAGTGGTCAGAGATGTTGAACATCTTTTCATGTATTTGTTAGCCATTTTTATTTCTGCTGAGAAGTATATGTTCATATTATCTGCCTATTTTTTTTCCTCATTGAGTTTATTGGTACATTCTAGGTATACAATACAGTTACATTCATTATTGGGAACTTGCACCTTTACATGACAGGTCTCGGTTCTCATTTTTTCCCCTTGTCCCTGTCCTCCCTTCACCCGTCCTCCCTCCCCCTTTACAAACACTTCATTTCCATTTCTTCTTTTTCTCATATTTTTTTTCTTTTCCCTTATTCCCTTTCCCCTACCCTTCCCACTTTCCCTACACCTTTAGCCCTTTTCTTCCCACTTCACAATG